GCGTCACAAGACCAAAGGTGAGACATGGAGAGACATGGGGAACGAAATCGAGAGAGCCATGTTCATGACAGAAGGGCCAACATATTGCCTACAGGTAAGTTTCTCCTCATTTTGCCGGAGTTGATCATGCAAATATATAACTCAATGAGGTAAATGGCAAGATTCTACATGAGTCTTTGAAAAGTCTTTGGACTTGTTTTTTTAAGGATGTAAAATTGCAAAATCATCAATATTGTGTAACAGATATCAAGAAACACATGGACACATACCCTTGACATAGCTTGCTTAGACCTAGATCCCTTTTGACAGGACAAACTTACAAAAGACTTTATCAACCTATATGTATACTATAGAACAAATATGTCCAGAACCACAAAAACAAATGGCTTCCAGTGCATCCCGTATCCCAGTGACCTGCACCAGCGACCACCCCCCCTGACACACACACTTAGTCATGGGGTTTTCAGTTAACTCAATTCCACGTAAAAAAAGGAACGATCGAACGGAAAGGCGGCAGAGTCCGCGATCAACTGGATGTTGAACAAATGTTGCAAAAGCGCTCAACGAAAGCGGCGATCAGCAGCTGCAATGCGGAGGGAAACCTGTTTTGGGGTCTATCATGCGAAAAACCATGGAATCAAAAAGACTGCGACAGGGTGGACCATTGGAGTCAGTGCGTTGGTCAGCAGGTACATGAGAGTGTTCAGCTCTCACCTCCCTCGATTACACCATAGCTTCGTTGCGTCAGGTAGGTGTATCGAGCCTGACGCCCCTGCTTTTGCAAAACTAAGAACCCTTAGCCTTAGAACTCTTAGAAACAGAGTGTGGCACACCCACACACACGAGTACAAAAGTTTCGCTCAGATCTGCAAAGCCCCGATTTGGAGTTCACTGTGGGCACGACAACGGCCTCCAACCTACTAGCGATGGCCGCCTAATTCACTGTAGGCACAACGATATGAACATGTGTTGGGGGTTCTGTTTGTTGCTAGCTCGCGGTGTTCGCTGCCCCGCAACATCCCCTGACAGCGTCCAAGTCAAACGTGTTTGTTTTTGTTTATGTGTGCGTGCGTGTGCGTATGATACTGTTGTTGCACACAGATATGTGTTGAATAATCCAACGACTGCTTAACATATGAATCCATATGAATCCATGGGGGTATGAATATATAGTCACGCAACATAAAAGCAGGGTCACGTATGTAAAGACCTCGAAGAAAGGTAGGGCATGTAAGGGCAGCACATGTACAGAATGGTGTCACGTAAACAAACAGAGCAGGCTTGAAAGAAGATATAAAATACCTGTACAAACCATCACTTGGAGTCCTATTTGTTCTTCATTAGAAGGGCCCCGTGTGTGGCACTCGGCGGGAACCTTCCATGCCTTGTTTTTCAACGAGCCAGCGCCAGTCTTTTTTTCCAAACGTGATCTAGACATTGAGTCACGAGGAAGCGATACGTAACCCTTGCTTTGAAGATTCTGAGCACATGTTTGCCTACACGTAACCTGGTTTTGGCAACATCAACTGACCAACAAACCCTTGTTTTGTCGCTTTCTAAAAGTGATCGGAACTGATCGGAAGTGATAGGCGGAGCGTACGTGCACCATTTCCTGGAGCGATTGGAAGTGATCGGAACTGGTCGGAAGTGATCGGCGGAGCTTACATGACCCACTTTTTGATTCACATTTCCACGTGTTAAGCATTCAAAAGCATACCTGGAAGCGGAAAGTGGACCACCATGTAACTGACGTATGTTTTTGAATGCTTAACACGTGGACATGTGCACCAAAAAGTGGGTCATGTAAGCTCCGCTTATCACTTCCGATCAGTTCCGATCACTTCCAATCGCTCCAGGAAGTGGTGCACGTAAGTTCCGCCGATCACTTCCGATCACATCCAATCGCTCCAGGAAATGGTGCACGTAAGCAGACGGTGTTGTTTTTACAACGTAGGCGCGCCATTTTTGTTGCTTCTGTGTTCTGTTTTTACAATATGAATGCACCTTTATTGGCCTCCGTGTGTGGATTTTGGAGTACATGTGCACCATTTTCTGGTTTCGCGTGTTGTATTTGTCTACTTTGTTCGGGCGACATGCCCAACAGAAAGATCCCAGAAGGTGCGTTTCAAGTCTTTCAAAAATACGATTATTGTGACTTCAAACGTGAGTTTGAGTGAGCCAACCCACCAACCCAGTATTTGAGTTTGTTTGGATGATTACATGCCTCAAATTGTTTGAAGCCTTCCATCCTTACGTGACCCACCCCGCGCACCATGCCGCGCACCACTTTTTTAAACATGTTAAGCATTCATTGGGGTTATCAATATATGTGATTTGTTTGGTTGCTATTTGTGTGTTGCAAGGAATTTGTTTGATTGGTCACGGTTTACAGACCATGATACATATATAATTGTTGGCAACATCTGCCAACGCTTTGGTCGACCACGCCGTCACTGTGCCACTCACGACGGAGTCGAGGTGGATTCGGTGTGCTAAAGCTGAAGCAAACAGATCCTCAGCACAAAACCCCGTTGCAAGATTGCAAGCATTCATTACCACCCCGTGAATCTGTGCAATCCACTGTGACTTGTGGTGTGGGGATACTTGTAGGATCAATGGGATCCTGGCTGAACGATTGGATCGCGCCACGAGCCTTCTGATCGATTTGGTGTTTTTTGTTTGTTGTGTATTTCAACCAATATCATATCAGTCACTCAAGTTCTCTTTGGACTATAGGATACTATAGGGTTTTTTAGGCCCCAAGATGGTCTTGTGGTGTCTCTACGGTCAAGAAACCCTGATCTCCATCAGGCTTATTTCACCCAGGTGATATGGACCCTACCATTCCAGCGATATTGGTTGGGGGAGGATATGACTTAAAGACTAGAGGCTTCTTTTGTGGCAAAGAACGAAAAACACCGTGTTGAGGAGCAAAACTCTGCTGCGGAGCAGTTTGAACTTCTTCCTATGCAGTGCTCGGTTTGCAAGGCTGGAATGATATTTCGCCGTCCCAGGCAACGACACATGAGGAGTACCAAATCTGCTAGATTTCTACGTTTGATCGCTTGGTGTATTCTCCAACCCGAGATGGCTTGTCCTGGTCGCTTTTGTTCGGCATAAGGCTGGAATCCCCTATTCGTTTTCATTGATACGTGTTTTTTGCACATTCAATGAGTGGCTCTGGGGCACTCAAGCATTTTTAGACCATGCTGTGTGGAAACACCGTCACGGCAACGGGGGTTGGCTCCCAGGTCTTCAGCCGGTTTCGCGACGGTAGACCAGCCGTTCGGCTGGTCCTGGAGAAAAAGGCTGACCTGTTTTTCATCGGCTTTTGGATTACTGTATATATATATAACCTGGAATCTCACTTCGTACCTCGGCAATTGGCTACTGGTACCTTTTCTGCTTAGACAGGGTCATGTCCCATCTTCTACTTTGGAAGTTCCAGGTGAAGATCTTTCATGACATAATGACTGCTATTATAGGCTATGGACTACTGTTTTTGATGAACATACTAAAGGCCAGGGGTGTTGGCCATTGCCAGGGGGGATCTTGGCATGGACTCCCTAGGCGCAGCAGAAACTAGGAAAGGTTGGCTGACCGAGGACTGAGCCGCCATGATTTCACCCAATTCCATTGAACCCAAGGACTGAGGAGGTACGTGCCAAAAAACCTTGGTTCTGACTATAGATGGGTAAACAAGGGCACACAGTCTGTGATCATCCGTTTTTACACGTGTGGCTGCCTGGCTCATGTGAATTTGCCTTGTTTCTCTGGAGTTTGTGGTGGTTCTTTGGGCCTTTGGCGAGAGACAGATCGCGGCCCGGACGACCCCAGTGGCGCCAGATGTTTCAACTCTGTGGCTATTGTTGGAGGGGGCATAAAAAAAAGGTCAACAAGTGCTTATTAGTAACTTATTAGCTCCATTTGTTCGGCATGAAGCAGACTTTTCCTCCATGTCCAAAGCACTTTCCGGTAACCCTTTTGCCAGGAACTGAGATGAAGTAGAAGATTGAACAGAGTTAGGTTGTTTGCGTCCCCAGTGATGTGTGTTGAGTTTCCCAGGCAGTGTTGTGGTGATCAAGCTCACAAATACAAGGAGCTCCACTGTTTGCAGTTTTATTTTGTGCCTTTGGGAACAGGTGAGATCCCTATTATTCCCTGACCTTGACCTTCGCCTATGACGAAGCATTGCCTCATCCAACCAGCCCTTAATTTCAAGAAAGTCTTGCCAGTCTCGCAGCTCGCGGCACTGGCCCTGTGAAGGCCACGCACGCCGAGGGTTGAGAGACGTGGGCGGAAGCTGTGAACAACAGCGCCTCCCGGCGCCATCTCTCGATTGCTCGATGTCTCGCTGATACACCTTGGCAAAGGCTGAACGCCCCCAGAGGAGCCTATCTTAGACCTCCTCAGCCGGGGCGGTGTGTTTGACAGAGGATCCCGGGCCTATTTCAAGGCGGGATCTGGAAACTGCGGCTGTAAGAGCCCGAGGAGTCCATTTTTTGGCCACGGGCCAATCAAGTTGTTGGAACAAAAGAAGCTGAGCCGTAGGGGTTCCAGAGGTGTCCGTGGGATTTCGGAGGTCTTTCCTTTCAACTTGGAAAAAATCGGACCAAACCCCGTTGTATCACACAGCAGCGATTGCAGTCGCTGAAATCATCCACTTTAGCCATGCTTCGCCCTTCAAGCGGACCCTATATAGCATACATGACATCCATGCCCTACAAGTCAAGGGCCTCACTTTACTGGAGATGGTCATGCAAACCCAATACTTAAGGAAGGAAACATAGAACACATTTTTGCAGGAACTTTGGACGTGTAGGGATGGATTGTTTCGAGGTGTTTGGGGTCATGAAACCGACACATGTGCACTTTTTTCGTGAAAGGATGGAAAGCATGGTCCCCCCAAACTGATCTACAGAGTCATGCTGAGTCTTAATTGAAACGAACACATTTGGCCAGACTTGTACATCTCGAGAGGCCGCGTCCGATTCCGCCAGGCCGCCACCGCCACCGGCGCCCGAGGTGTGGGATTTGTGGGCCGATGAGGCACAACTCCGGCGGAAGGCGCCGTGGGCCGCGCGGGCCGCAGGCCGCGGGAGCGGTGGAGTATTGGTGGGATGTGGGTGAAAACGTGTGGGGCCCATGAAAGCGGTGAGTTGACCTCAGCATCGATTCAGAGTCTAAGCTGTTCATTCTCAGTGCCAGGGTCCCATGCGGTGTGCCAGGGTCCCATGGGGTGTGCCATGACCCAGCATGTGAGATCTGTAAGGAAGCAAGAGCGACTCAGGCCAGGGGGTCGTCCATATTTGCACACCTCTGGGTGAAGTCTTTGAGAAGATGGTTGAAGTAAGTTTGTGATTGGCTAGATGGAACTTGAAGTCGACTTGATGATGAATGTGAGTTGGCTGGGTGTTTGACATACATTCATTGGAGGACCAGGATAATTTCAGTGGTTCTTGATGTGTTTGCCAGCATTGCAGCATAAGGATTTAAGAATATTAAAGTATTGACATAGTATTGACTTAGAAACTCTGGACCGATTCTCCCGTGATGATAACATGATCACCCGACGGATGGAAAACCCGTATGACATGTCATTCTCCAGACACTTTGTCAGCCAGAATATTTTTGTTGAACCAATTCATTGAACGCGGACGATCGCAGATTGGACACCTAAGGTTCACCATCATCGAAAGCCACCGTTGACAATCGAAGATCATCCAGACAATCTTCCTGGTGTTCATTCACTATATGTATATATATATACATATTATATATATACGCTGTTAGTCAATGTGCACCAATGCAGCCGATGCCAAAGTAGAAGGCCAAGTCATGTCTCTTTGGCTCTAGAACCCCATAACTCATAATGTCAAATTCCAATTACTGTAGTCAATTGGAAAGACACAAATGTTTTCACAAACTAATTCACGGAATCTGAATAGTTTTGTAAATGGAAACAAAAAACAGTGTTGATTTTTTCTGATGTTAGCTTGTTTTATTTTTTAAATGGTTTGCTTAGCTTTGTTTATTTATTTAGTTTGTTGTTGTTCAGCTATTGCGGCCCTTTAAGATCCTTGCTTAACCTCTTCTGAGGTTTGCTTGTTTCCTGCAACTCTGACCGGAACACCTTCTTTAAACAAAGAGAACCGCACAAACATTTCAAGACTCATGACTCATTGAAATCTTTACTCCAATCAAGCATTCAAGGAGGTAGTACTCAAGCCCAGGGGAAGTTAATTATGTATTTTATAGGGGTGGGATTTATGCACCCATTTGGAGCCTAGGAAACTTATATTCTGAGTTTAGTGTTCTATTGTTCAGCTATTGCTGCCCTTTAAGATCCTTGCTTCTGAGGTTTGCTGCTGCTACTACTACTCTTGCTTCTGCAGCTGCCTGCTGCTGCTGCTGCTGCTGCTGGCAAATGATAAAGTCGTCTCATGTTTTTCTAAATTGAGGAATTTAGCTTTGGGAAAGCACATCTACAATGTCGTCTCTTTTAGGCTCCTACCATACTAAATGCAACGTTATATGTTATGCTTGTTTTTTTTCTGTATGTTCTTCCTGCTGTTGCGTTGCCATGGGTTTTTGGCTGAATCACTCAGCTACTTTATGTGGAAAGCTTCAAAGAGATGACTTAGGGATGACTTCATTAAAATGGCGTTGCCATGCGGAAATAGGGGAAAGGGACGGCAAGGGATCACTTTCACTTCTCCCTGTATTGCTACTGTAGCACCTCTATCACTACCGCTTCCGCTATACACTGCCACTACTATTACGCGTACGCTTACGCATACTCTTTCGCTTACAACGACGACAACTACAACTACAACAACAACAACTACTACTACTACTCCTACTCCTCCTACTCCTACTCCTACTCCTCCTCCTGCTACTCCTACTACTACTACTACTACTACTACGACTACCACCACTACCACTACCACTACCACTACCACTACCACTACCACTACCACTACCACTACCTACTACCACCTACTACCTCCTACCTGCTACCTGCTACCTCCTACCTACTACCTATTACCTACTACCTACTACCTACTACCTACTAGCTACCTGCTACCTCCTACCTACTACCTATTACCTACTACCTACTACCTACTACCTACTAGCTACCTACTACCTACTAGCTACCTACTACCTACTACCTACTACCTCACGGAGTGGGACAACACAGAGTGGAACCACGCAGAGTGGAGCCACATGGGTTTAAATACGGATCAGAGACACAAGGAGATCGAACATGTCCAGGGAGCAGCGTATGAGGCGTCGTGCGATCTGTTGGATATGTCGAAAGGACCGACGCCAGTAGTGTCATTGTTGACGTCATGACTTGTGGCTTTATGGATCATTCCGGAGCGACTCCTCGGCGCGAGTTCTTCCAGTGCAAGTCCTTTCAGCGCAAACCCTTTCGGAAGGAATCCTGATTTCACTAATGATGGGGATTGCCTGATGCTTCAAGCATGAAATCAACAGATGAACAATTGGATTTAGAAAGTCATCCGAAGCGTATGGCTCTATTTTGATAGCCAGCGCAAGTAGTTTTTGACTACGAATTATGAGCTGACAATGATCTTTCTAATTTTCTAATCACGTGTATGGAGATGTATATTAATATTAAACATGTTTAAAAAAAAATGTTATCTATACCTTAGATGAAACACTTTTTGTTTAGAATATGTACTGTTTATATGATACACTGTATTATTTTTAAATAAAAAGCTTCTAAAAATCGATCTTTCACACGAGTCTCTGACAGCGACATCGGAGTTGCACGGCGAGGCACCCACGGCCCTGCCAGCACCAAAGATGGCATTGCCCGGGCATGCGGAGTCCTACAACCCGCCCTCCGAGTACCTCTTCACAGAGGTTTACATTTCCGCCCGCGCATGTCGTCGCGCGTTTTCCGCCATGATGTCCAGAACGAAGGGCAAAGTGAGTGGCGTGCGAGCCCGATCAGGCTGCGAAAGTCTAGAGAAATGTGGCAAGAAAAGGTGTTTACTGTATGTTGATCTATTTTAGCGATTTTGGTGGGTACAGTTATACCATTTGCAATGTTAGATGCCGAGTTAAAACCGATGTTTCAGGGAAGTGCAAGGAAAGAATAGGGAAGAACACCCGGGTGGTTTCCACCACCAGCGCAGAACTACGGAAATTCCATGCCTGGTTTTGGGTTTTGGCATGGCTTTCTGCTGCATTTACCAACTACTAGTATCAATATCTGTGCTCAGGACTAGGACCGAGACCATGAGGTCAAAGACAGTTTGTGGATCTATAATATATATATCCCTAAGAATCCTTGGGCTCTCCATGGCAGGGGTCGGACCCTCCATAGCAGGGTTCCGGGCCCTCAAAACCCTATCTGTTTGAGGGCCCGGACTCTTCGGGATATATATTATCAAAGTTGTTGATTGAACACCAAAGGTCAGTCTACACTCCCTAAGTGGACAACTACCTGTTGGATCTTCGGATTTCGTGTTCCTCTGGACTCGCTTTGCTTTTGATCACCACTTCCATTTATTTTCGGGGAGTGCACCTAGACCATCCAAACGCTCCTCAAGGGCGATCCCTATAGTGCAGTTTCGGCCCAGACTACAAGTCCGTACCGAGAAAGGAAGTGTTGACCAAGAACTCCGACAAAAACAGTTGTTTGTGTGGAGGAACATAGTGTTCTCACCGACTAGCTTGCTGTACTCATGATCCATGATTCTCATGCATGAGGATGCGGCCTCACCCAACTTCACCAAGTTTCGCGGATGGACTTCCTTTTGTTTACTGAGCTTCAGCTTGTTTGGGGACGACCTTTCTCCTTTGGCATTTGCTTTGATACTCTTCAATGTTCAGGGCGGGGGCATTATACTGGTGTCATAGAGTCCGAAGTATTCAAGGTGGTCATCATTTGGATGCGAGAAATCCGACATGCAGAATCGTGGCAGCTCCCACTTCCACTCAATTGTAAAGTTTTTGTTGGCAAAGGTTAACCGGCGTATACATTGGGTTATCTCGCTTCATAGACACAGTGTGACACGGTCTGAAAAGTTCAGAGTGGTAGGACTTTTGGCCACCGAGATACATCAACTGTTACTGGTTCGGAGATCAACCAAAGAACTACATTTGACTTTTCATCAGCCTTTTGCTAGGAGGAGAAGAAAGAATGGGAAGAGACTTTTGAAGAGGACACTGTGATATCTCACAGTTAATCGTTCGTGCGTTCTTCTGCATAGTTGTGTCGGTAGGAGGAAACATTGTGATTTGATGTGGGGGCTGGATGAAGGACTTATGTTGCACTGCAAAGGAAGCATCAAGTCAAGATAGAACAGTATATTTGTCGGATTCCATTCCATTGGTCTCAAAAGCCTTTGTCGATCTATGCTTTATATATACTGTAATAACAAACAGTTTGCTGTGTTCTTTTTCAGAATTAGTGTTTCTGGTTGTTTGCTTGTTCATTTGTTTTCAAACGTTCTCAAGCTCTTGAGCCCCTGAAAGGATATCGGAACAGTCCCGATTCGATCCATTTTCCCTACATTGTCCATCGAAGCTTCTTTGTCGATGTTCATGTGCCTGTCCACCGGGGAGCCGCCGTGCGAGCTCCCAGAAAGACTGATCGTGCCGAAATGGACTGATCGGCAGGACCGCACCCTCAACCACCTTCCCCAGAAGTTCGAGAGCTTGCGACATGTGCCGGGCTACAAGGATTTCACCTTAGAGCGCTTCAAGAGGCTGGGAGAGCTCGGCTTTGGTCCTCTTTTTGTTTGGTGTTTGGCTGACTTTGGTTGCTTTTTCTGTGGGTATTCTTGGTGCAGGTACAGCGCCCTGAACGTTAGAGTTTTCTGGTATAATCTCCAAATGAGTGGCCGCACTCTCCGTGGTAGGCCGCGCCAGACGATCACGTCAAGGTTGATCGGTTTCTGCTTGTACAGGACCATCTTGTCTGGGTGTCATTGGACTACTCCAGACACACCCAGATGGTGCTCCAGGTATGAACATGTTGGGTCTCTGGGCCTTCGTCGGACTGGGTCTTTCCCGATGGCTCGGCACAGCGTCGACGGGCTGGGTCGGCGCCGATCCGAAGTCACAGGATCTAAACTGACACCTGTCCATTGGTGCCGATGTCCACAGGTGCTTGGACCTGTACTTGGTACCCAGAGCCTTGAAACAGCGCATGAACGTGGATCCAGATGCTTGGCAGGGTTTGGCATGGTCGTGAGATCAAGGGCTACACTGCAGTGACGACCAGGTGTCCGGGCTTCACAGATATTTGGGTTCGGCAAGGGTTTTTTCTAGTGTTTTCTTATTTGTGTTGTATTTTCGTCACTGTTCGTCCGCGTTGGTTGACATGTTCGTCCGCGTTGGTTTTCGTCACTGTTGCTCCGTCTTTCTTGGCTTTCGTGGAAGCATGACCCAATCAAGTGATTTAGGGTGGTCGGAGATCAACAGATTTGGGTGGCTTCTTAAATACCCATGTCTTGCCAAAGGGTCGGAGTTCAACCTCCACGTTCAACAGCAGGGTCGGATCTACATCGTGGCCCGTGATGGAGTGACTCGAGGAAGATGAGTATGCCCAAATCTGAAGGACACCGCCCACCCAGGGTGAGAGGTGCTCGAAACTTTCAGACAGGCTCATATGGCCCTTGGAAGTCGCGACAGATCGATGAAGGACATCCAAAGCCTTTGGAACCAAACCCAGCCCATCTTCACCGAGCATTTGTTGTTACATTTCATCATTTCAGTGTGTATACTGTACAATGTGAAGTTTTGATACGATTTTCAGGCTTTGGCTCTTATAGATCTTATAGTCTTTAGGCTGAACATAGTACCTACAGTGGTGTATTGGGGTGACAAGAAGATGTTGATTGCATTGACATCGTCCAGTGTTACATGAGCCGGTTCTCCTGACATATATAAATTTGCAAGATGTTTCTCCGACCCACCAAGATGGATGTGGAAACCGACCCTGTTTGTAACTGTATCGAATTGACAATCATAGCCTTCCCAGGGGTCACTTTCCACTTCCAGTTGGTGAGGGTAAAGCAAGAGCTTTGATCCGGCGATTTCTATTACTCGCAGGCGCCCTAGTCAGGGGCGCCGGACATCGGCGCCCGACACTCGGTTTCAGCGAGGAAAGCCTCCTGCCCAAGTTGCCCAACCCCAAGGAGCGGAAGCCGGAGGAGTCAACGGATGGGACCGGAAGATGTAACAACATGGACCAGTGAAACCACCCAGATTGTCCGTGTAGAGGTTAGACATAGATTCGTAGAGAGTGGGTCATCTGACCAGTGGCCCTCCGACCTGCTTTGCTCAAGGGGATGTATTTTGTTGCATGTTTTGCTCCGTGTGTTCTTTTTGCATGGGCGTTTGGTTGCACTTTGCCTTTGCCCAAACTTTTTCAGATAGCTTACGGAGCCCTAAGATTCAGGATGCTGCTCTGACTGAGTGGCTGACTTTTACCGTTTCCCACGAGGATAGGAAACATAAGTTCTTTGGCACCCAATTCACAAAATAGACCAGGAATGTCCTTTCAATAGATGGACTGGCAGATGATCATCAACTTGGCTTTATGTCAAACCATTCATCCCAGTCCATCCATGTGCATCCCCTTGCCAGCAAATGTCATTACTTTATGACGATGCGAAGGTTCAGTTTACCTCTATCACCCATCACCCAACCGAAAGCTCAAGATGCCAACTGGGTGTGTATTGCAATAGGGAGACCCCTAAAAGAAGGGAAATAGACCAAAACATACCAAAACCTATATATTGGTATTAAAATACAATTACACATCCAAATAATCCGATTTCTTCCCACCGCAGACCATACATACGACTGGAAGAATTACATATATATTGACTGACTCCCATAACCTTCCATACCCTGTGGATCCACAATGATCCACATACCGAGAAGGTGATTGGAGACTATGTAGGCGCCAAGAGGGCCCAGTCGTCTGTGGATTGCTAGGGATAGATGAATGACCCATGGATGACCCCACACCATCGGTCACTCTTCCAGTCTGGCACAGCCCTTGACTTTGGGCTTCGTCCAGAGGACTTGCGGCCCTTTCCCACCCACATCGCAGTGAGCTATGAGGGTCATGAGGGCATGATCCGCTCCGTTGCGGTCGAGGCCACCGGGGACGGAGAGCGAATTCTGACAGTCAGCGCTCCACCGGTTGGCGCGCAAAAAAAAGGTGACGTGGATCGCCCGGTGTTCGCATTATGTGGATTTGGGGTGGCAATGTGTTTTTTTGCGGATCAGAATCATTTTTGGGATGAAGGAGGAAGAGTTCCACATGTGTTTTCATCTGAGTGTTTGAACAACTCTGCGGTAATTATAATTACTGGATGTCACTGGGTTCCTCCAGCACACAGTTTGGTTTGGGTGATTTGGTGAGTTGTTTTTCTTTTTTAAATAGGGTATTGATGGGTATTGCATATTGTATAATTAGGTATATGTATTAGGTATGTTTCATTTCACTCGTATCACCTGACCAATCAAACCCAGGGTGTTTCACTTCTCGCCTCGCCCGGAGCGCTGGGACCTGCGGTCACCCAGGCCACCGGCCGCTACTTGGCGACGGCCTCGTCGGACGAGACGCTGAGGATCTGGGAGGCGAGCGAAACCCGGAGTCTGGCGGAGGTCTGTCGGAGTCCCATGGCACGAACCGGAACCGGTTCGAAGGGTTGGTCCGAAGGTGTCCAGTCGCAGGAACGAGTGTTCAGACCGAACCGATGGACATGTCCGACGTCGCGGGACACTCCGTGCACTCGACTGCCGACGTGCCCAGTCAAACGCTTCTCCCAGTCAAACGCTTTCCTAGAGGCAATTAATGAAAGCAAGATGACTATACCATCAGACAGTCTTTGGTGTGCAGACTGTTGCACCCTTAGGATTGCGGGCCTTTTCTATATAGGTCTACGGTTAATTGTTGTTGTGTTTCATTACATTGCAGACTAGGAAGTACAGATGCCAAAGCATTCTTAAAGTCCTTAAGTCAAGTTGTATCAGAGCTATAGAACTTATATATTTGTTGCCCGCTTGTTACCTTACAATCTGTGCCTGGAATATCGGAATATCCTAGAATGATGTTTTGTACACTTCACTAAGTTCTGATCGACACGCACCACGCCTTACGAGAAGAATGGGCAAGTCACCAGGATTTGTTTCACTATGTTCACTGAGTCTGGCATCTCGAATCTCAAAGCTTGGTTCAGAGTAAACATTCAAATCGAATTGGTGAATCTGAGAATTGAACGCGGAACTTCAATCCTCACAGCCTTTGGATCTCCCAAAAAGTGTCTTGTCTTTCCCTGTCCTTTCTCGTGAGGCAACTCAAGAACTCATCCCAACATCCACCCCCATCCAAGGTGGCCACTGGGCGCCCGGTTCGCAGCATCAAGTTCAGCCTCTCGTCTGGGAAGCGGCGCAGGGCCAGGGAAACGGCCCTGTCGACTCTAAGGAATCTCTCTGTTCATTTGTACTGGTGGGCTTGTCATATCAATGGTTCGCGTGAGCACCTAGGTGTGCCGTCAGATTGAGGTTTTTGTGGGAGATAGGAGTTGCGCGCTTGCTGCGTAAAGCCCAATATAATTACATGTCATGTCACATGTACGCACATGTGCACCGTATATATGGACATTTTTCATATACCATTGAAACAGGGTGTGTTTCTGACAAGCTGCTTGAACATAAAAGAATCCGTTTCAAGCTTTTGGTGTCGGAAATCCGCGTAAGCTCCGTGTAAGCACTGCGTAAGCCTGGTTTGCTTTGGAAGACCAACCCATTGATGAACTTTTGGCCGCTCGCTGCCCAGCGGCGGATGTAAGAGATTTGTTGGGCTGAGTGCTTTCCAAATGCCAATCCTTTCTGCCAGATATGTTTGACGGAAACGCGGTGTGTGCTTTGCCTGGAAAACAGGCTGTGACTGTGGTGTGGTGCTAAAATTGTTTTTACAATAAAGTCATATGCGTAAGTGTTGCGTAAGCCCCTTCTTGAAAAGAACTGCGTGTGCAAGCTACCATTGTGGTCACGTAAGGGGCGCGTCAGCAGTGGCGTAAGCAGAATCGTACAACATAGGCAGATGCCATAGGTGTTCAGAGCCGCTATGAGCCGCTCAACTGACCAGCGGGTTCTTAAACTGACCTTTTTATATATTGTGTATCCTTTGTTGGATCACCTAATAGTGGCCAGGTACAAATATGTGTTTTGCGATTGGTGTGTTTATTCCTTTCGGGGGGGTAGTTACTGGGTTACCGGTCACTGAATGTGTGGATGAAGGGTTGAATGGGGCGTAGTTAGGCGGGATCAAAAGTAGAACTCTCAAAAGTTGTCCTACCTTTGATTTGATGGAAGACTCTGCAGCACATATGGAACAAACAGGGATCTTCCATATGCATTACTACCCCAGCCATGGCTTGGTCTCAACAGGGAGGAGTCCGAACCTGCAAGTGAGACCCGATTCTTCTACACTTCGAAACAGCTGCCATTTGGGTATGGTGAACAAACAAGTAAGAAACTGCAGATTGTTCACTGGGATGGGCAATCCTTGTGCTGGGAGTCGGATGTTGACTGAGATCGGCAGTGGAAAGTGCATCCAATCACAGGTTACGGTGATGTTTATATGGAGTTGTTGGCTGTATGTAGTAAGGTGGAATACATAATTTGGATGCAGGAGGTTTGACTGAAGGTTCTTCTCACTGAGAAAGTGGGGTTGTGCACGTTCGATTTCTTTGACCATTCTTTCGCTCTGTTGTTCAGTTTCTAGCTGAATGCAGTTTCTAGTGGAATGTTGTGCTATTTAAAGCTCCTGGAACCATAGGTTTTTCTTCTACACTGTGCCTCCTGTTTTGTGCATCTACCTCTCGTCACTTTTCGCCTGTCTTCGGCCTTGGGGAGCGAGTTGAGCGTGGCGAAGGACGTGGCTCATCTCTCAGCCTGCGCGGTCGCGCAGACGAACGTCTTTGGTATGCGGAAGAGGAAAGAGAGGACCATCTCCACAGCTGATTTGTTTTCACCCTGGCGCTGTGCCTATCTGTTCTGCAGTGTGACCTCCATGACTTGCGAAACAAACACCAGTTCTTGCGGTTCCGGCTCTCCGTGTCAGACCTCAAAAGCGGAAAACCAAGTAATCTCCCCAAAGAGAAAAGATCAGATGCTATGGCCCGGGATTTACTGAATCCTGTCAAATCTACTACATGTGTTTGGATGACAGACGAAACGCGGCCATTCATATTCAATCATAGGTAAACCACACTGTGAACTGCAGCGGTAAACCGTTGCAGCCCTTGTGGATTCGAGCGGCGCTGAGCCATGACGATGAGAATTCCAGTGCAACAAATGAGCCACTCGGTTCTGCGTCACTTTGTATTCACCCTGCGGCTCCAACCACATTTTCAGATGGTTAGGGTGGGTGCCAAAAGGGGTCTATCCACCTTCTGAGGAGATGGTTGGAGCCCGGGGTCATTTAGTTGGTGCGAGTGCGTTTGGCTTCGTCGCCGTTGTTTCGTGACTAGACGACTGTGTTGACCTCGTGCCAGGTGGTTCAGTTCTGACTGAAGCTTTCCCTGACTATTGGGGAATTCAAGAGTCAGCTCAAAGGGTTGCAAGAATGCGATGAACTGATGAAGAAGGTGACCTCGGTCGAAGTGGTCATGGGTGAAACAAAGCTCATTGACGACGACCAGACAATTGCGGAAGCAGGGCTTTCTCCAGATGTGGTCTTGCATGTGTTGTTCACAGTCGCAAGGTCTGTTTAAGAGATTCTTTTACTGGTCAGCCTTCAACATAGGGAATCACAAGTTGTGGAGAGAATCCAGCTGTACCCCCACGTTTTTGAAGTTTTTTGAGTGGGCTCCAAAGAGTTGCCCAAGCAAGCTCAACTCTATGGCCTGGATGGAGCTTCCATCGCTAAGGTCCGTTCCGTCGAATGTGCAAGAAAAGAAGATGCGAACTGCTTGAGCAACTTGGCTGCTTGCTTCATGGTGAAGATCCCGGATGACATCACAGTGATTGCTTCGTTTGCTTTCGCAGGCTGCGTCTCGATTGCAAGTCTGACGATTCCGAATTCTGTCACAAAGATTGGACCTGGGGCCTTTGGTGGTTGCAACTCATTGACGAGCTTGACCATTCCTGATTCAGTGATGAAGATTGGACTGGGGGGCCTTTGCTCGTTGCAGCTCAGTGACGCGCTTGACAATTCCGGACTCTGTGACTGAGATTGCACCTGAGAGTTTCGTTGGCTGCAGCGCATTGGCAAGTTTGGTGATTCCAGCCTCAGTGACTGAGATTGGAGATGATGCCTTTCGTGGCTGCAGCACACTGACAAGTTTGACCATTCCCAACTCATTAACCAAGATTGGACACGGGTCTTTTCGTGGCTGCAGCTCATTGACAAGTTTGACCATTCCTGATTCAGTGACCAAGATTGGACTGGGGGGCCTTTGCCGGTTGCAGCTCATTGATAAGTTTGACACTTCCGAACTCCATGACTGAGATTGAGGCTGAGAGTTTTGCTGGCTGCAGTTCATTGGCAAGTCTGGTGATTCCAGCCTCAGTCACCGAGATTGGAGAGGATGCCTTTCATGGCTGCTGCTCACTGGCGAGTCTAACAGTTCCTGACTCTTTGAGTGTCATTGGAGAGAGGGCCTTTGCTGATTGCACTTCATCGGCCAGCCTGGCAGTTCCCCCTTCGACGAGAGACTTAGCTTGCCAGAGTCTTTCCAGTCGCGTGGGTCCGCTGAACGATCATCTTCGATGAACGACTTTGATGCGCTGCGTACGCCGGGTTCGGGGGAACTTAAAAACGTCGGACCACTGGAAGGGGATGATGAGAGGATTGGGGCGATCCCTGTCTGCAGGGATTTCCTTCATTTCAGAAGAACTGCCGACTAGGACGAACTCCCAGCTTTTACAGCTGAAGTGATGTTCCCCACGTATTAGACACGTGACTGGAGTGGCAATATGTGGTGACCGCTTCCAAAAAGCAACTGGAAGGCTTTTGGTTTTGCAGTGCTTGGACACGTGAGCCTTCTGACATAGTTTTGCCTTTGCGGTGCCTTCCAACGGATTAAAACCATTGAAAACCAACGCAATAGGTTGGTACTGTACCGTACCAGGCGTTTTCCTTTGGTGTCAAACTCCGGCAATGCTCAGGTTGCCCGTTTGAGGGTTGAAGGTAGCTGCGGTCGCAACATATCGGGCCTAACCTAAGCCAATTGAAAAACCCGTGAAGAAGCTTTGCCTTAACAGAAAGGCTCCAGCAGAGCAATCATTGATTTAAATAGCATTATTATGATATATATATATTTATACTATAACATCCCAAGCCCACAAATGGAAGTGGTTGGCGTGACTGCTTGACTGCCTGATTTGTTGGGAAGATCCACTTTTCTCTATTTGATCTAGAAAAAAACTAGTAGAGTCATGGGAGTCCGGAGACCACCGTAGAGTCACTGCCAAGGCAGTGCAGTCACTGCTGTGGCGTGGAATCCCCAGCATTTGATGCTGAGCGTTTCAGCGGAGGAGGCGCTTTTTCAGCGGCGCGGAACGCGGGGGGGGGCACAGCTGATTCTGGGGTCCGGGGTGCTGGTGCTTGGTCGGGCCATGTGATCCCTTGACGTTGGAGCTGAAAGAGGCCTTCGAAGTGTGAGTGGTCATGTCATGTTGGAGTAGTCATGGTATTTTCCATAATTACAGGGGATAACATGAGGATGGCATGAGGAGGGAGCCTATGATATGCCATCCACTCGTGATCCCCTATAGGCTTATGTTCCATGTTGTCACTGCTTGATTTCTCAGGAACTGAACTGACTATAGTACCGACTGTATATTATACTATATTTATGCAATTGTAAGTACAACTATGGGCTGTTTGGTTGATGGCGTGTGTCACGGGGCTAAAGGCTTTGAGGGCCATAAGAGCTTTTCCCCGTACTCCTGTGTAGGGCCGATGTTCATCAAGAACAGGTCAGGTGTGTGATCTCTGGAAACTCCTCGATTGGGGAGAAAAGATATCTAAAGTAATGTTCCACGGCCTAGTCAAGCCGCTCACAGTTCTTTCAGGCTTTTTGTTGATCCTTTTTTTCAGAACTGGGCGTGCCCTATCCACTGCAGAACGTCTTCTTCCTGGACCCTCAGTTGGAGATCCAGGCAAGTGAGCTGGCAGCTCGGCGCGCGAGAGAGAGAGAGAGAGAGCGACCAAAGCCTAAACGATCAGTGTGACCCATGTGGATTTCCCTAGAGAGACACCCAAAACCAGACAATCCATGTAATGTAATGTATGGAACACTTACCTAAATTGACCTTTGAAACATCAGTAAACATCTCAAAGCCACCCCAATCTAGGTAAATATGCTAAACTAGGTACATGCTTGGGAGACTGAGAGTCTTCTCTGAGTAGTCTTGAGTCCTGAGTGGCTGAGCACCACTCAGTTCGGGTGGTTGGACATCTCCCGCATCCCAGTTGACACTTTTGAAGTCGATGCTTGGAACTCGAACTGAAAAACCTGAGACTCCCACCAGCAACATCTAGGTTTGCCTGCCGACGTAACCTTAGTTGGTGCCTATACTGCCTATACTATACTTCTGGATCTACAGATCCACTACAACCCTTAGATGGTCCTATGATGGATCCCCTAAAATGGTGTTGACTCTCCCATCATCATCCAGACTGCTCTCCTGCCAGGCAGCTCCTGACGGCGAGGCAGGTTTATTTTTTTGTGAGCAAGCAGGGGCCGCTGTTGGCCTGTATCCCATGATACCACTGGCGGGACTGGCATATAGAAACCCCAACACATTGGGGTGAAAAAGGGGGTCATAAGGGGTGCATATATGCCATACATGGAGTTTCATGGAGTGCATTGGATATTGGAGACGGCCCGTTCGCATGGCCCCACAGAGGCTGGCTTTTTTTGATCGATCACGTCCAAGCGGGCAGGTGGGGACAGGGGCCCAGGGGAAGGTTCAGTTAGAGGCCTTTGAAAAGGTTCTGCATGCCACCCATCAACTTTTGAGGTGAGACCTGTGAGGCCAGGTGAGACCTGTGAGGCCAGGTGAGTTAGTAGCGTGAATGTTGGGAGTATCAGCCAGCCTTTGATCCACGTTGTCTTGGAGATCTGAACCCTTGGCAAGTTCGCCAAGTCTGAAGCAAGTCCGGGAGAATCCACTGATGAAGAGGTCATGTTGCCTCCAACATTTTAAGATTTCTCCCGAGGTCACCCAGACCCAGTCACCTGCCCGAATCCGCCCAACGAACTGTCAGCGTGTCAGCTGTGATCAAATACACGACCTTTCGGATGCCAGTTTTGATGGATTGAGCGAACTTGTACGACTTCTTCCTGTCAAAATTCATCTCTTGACCACATCGTTGTGGTGGGGGCTGAAAGGGTTCCTAGTGAACTACGATGAAGATTCCAAGACGGCCATTTTTTTCGGGGAGTCCAAAAGAATTCTGTGGAAGGTTACCAAGTAACCATTCTCTGACTTGGGATTCTGATCAAGGCTGTTGGAGGTCTTGGAAGCCGAACACAGATCGGATACCACCGCACTGTCCGTTCATGCCGTTGGAGGCACCGGTGGCTGTGTCATCCCTGCTGGAGTTCAAGGAGGTGCGCTGTTTCACACCGCTTTTGGTTTGGCTGGTTAGCCCAGAGGACACACCAGGCGTTTGGCAGGTCTGACTAGGTTTGGGAGGTTTCACTATGTTGCACTAAGACTATAAGCATATAGCTTCAGATATTTTAGGAGCTGGCGAAACTGCAGGTCGAACAATGATGCAACATTTTTGTGGAATAATCAAAGGTGAGGAAACAAATTTTGAGGAGAAGATGATCCGGCTCGCACTGCCCACCCAATTTTCGAGCTATTTGGGGTATCAAGGGCTCAATGAGACAGGGGCTGTGAGAATGCCAGTCCTCGGCCATTTGGCTATAGCACAGGTATGGAAGGAAGGAAGGAAGGAAGATATTATAAGCTGTTACTAAATCGGCACTGTTTGTTGACAAAGCTGATTTTTGACCAGTGGCTAGTACAGGCTCCAAGGTATATCCGTGCGTTTCTGGCATTTTTCCGGATCTGAGAGCAATCATTGTGTTTTTGTTTTTTCGTACTTATATAAAATTGTCAAACCACTGTGGTGTGTAAACCACAGTCAAGCTTAGACACCTGCTAAGTGAGCTGTCCGGGACAAAAAAGAACACCACCTGCATGCGAAGCGTCCATCTTCCAAGTCGTCCTCTCCAGGCGAATGTGGCGAAACCTGAGGGAGAGGAAGTTGAGGAGCGGATGCACGATGTCAGTGAGCCAGTTCTCAGCCATTGGTCAAAAGCCGTCGCTTCCTCTCAGTCACTCAGTCCTCAACGGTCCGCTCTTGCTTGGTTCCCGGAAGTTCGTCAGAAAAGACGGAATCGTCGTGTAGAGTTTTCTCGGAAGGACTCCACTCAGAGCCTAGGGCTCCAAGTACCTTCTCAGGTACGGTGGTTGGAGACACTGTTATGTAGGTTTTGAGGGTCCAAGCACCTTCTGAGAAGGTACTTGAGGAAGAGGGTGACCATGGCCCCCCTGCAACAGCCTGGCTTTGCCAAGCTGCAGCTACAGATGGTGGGGACCTTGCGCCAATTGTTTTGGGAGAGTGCGTGGTTTTCCTACGTAACAGTTAAGTATTCACCTAGGACAGGGTTTAAAACTTCCCAAAGACCGAGAAACCAATTCCCTTATTATATATTGGCCGGCCTTTTTCGATCTATTCGGGGACCCTTGCCTTTTGTAGATACAACCCCTCACCTCAGACTCAAGAGGTATGCAGCTCCGCCGTGATAGACAGAAATGACTTCTAGGCAGGCTATACCAAAAAGAATATTTGTTGAGTTGGAAAAAGCTGCTTGGAATCACGAGCTGCTGACCGTTTCACCAGGAGCCAACGGCGGCCAAAGCGAAAGCCGTCCACTGGCGTGCCGTGCAGCCCGATTCGCCTCAGCACGCCGCGGGCTGCAGGCACGAGCGGATCGGTTTCAAGATTGACAATTGACACACAGAAGAAACACCTCATAAACAAAGAAAAATTGGTAATTCCGTGGATTGCTTAGGCTTACAATACAATATAACCCAAACATTCCATGTATGGTATATTATGCCTACATTGACCCTTGAAACCACCCCAATGTAGGAATATAATAAGAATCAAATTATATAAATAAATAAATATATATATATATATGTATATTTCATACATGGAGTGTCAGGTAATACGTAATTTAACATCTAGGAATCGTAGGTTTTATATATCCCAAATCACATGCATGGGTGCACCAGAACGGAACCTGGTTTCCACCCCTTTGCAACGGGTTTGAAATGGTTTGAAGCACAGCCCCAAGCTACAGAGCAGACGGGTCGTTCGTTCGCCCGACCGGGAGCAGTCTGCTGGTGCCATGACCCCACAGCCATGACCCCGTTCCCCGTCCGCGGACGGAGATGCGCGGTCGCGATCGGAAGGCTTTCCATCGCCACGGACGGAGATGTGCAGCTCTTGGTGTGGCACCACAAGGGGAACTACTGCGCAGCGGTGAGCCCCAAGGTCGGCGCGCACGTTCCTCCGCCGCTCCGGGGTTTTGAGTCACAAAGCAAGGCACTCCTGGAGTTTGATTTGACATTCTTCAGGGTCCTTTGTTTTCAAGGAGTAACGTTCTTCCTTTAGTCCTTTTTGGGAGGTTTTGGTCTCACCTGCATTCGTGCTACGCCCTTGTTTTTTTGCCGGGGGAGGCTGAGCGCTTTTTTGCTGTACATTTTTCGTGGACAGATGTATGTATATAGGTGTGATAGTGATAGCTATGCAACTGTTTGTGGTGTGATAATGGACTCTATTAGTATAAGTGTGTGTGAACTTGAGTCGACTTGATGGCTGGTGGCTGGTGAGCCCCAACCGCAGTGTGAACTTGGTCATGCTGGAAGGCATATTCATATGGAATCACGATGGAATCGGGTACACGATCTGAACACCGCAATAAGGACCACAGGTATAGTTGGGTACCAGCATCGTGATTGCGGCAACTTCCGCAATTTGTGCGAGATCTTCCTGGTTGATGGGTACACCGCAAATCTGCATTCATCCTCCTTTGCTTCGCTTCCTTTTTCGGCTCGCGGCCACAGGCGCGAGCGACCTCGAACCAGTGCATCATCCATGCCGCGGGACCTGGTGGAACTCAGAATGGACACGAACGTACCTCTGACTCACTAACATGGAAGTGGAACTTGGAACACCCCCCTGTTCGTGGCCTGGAAAGTCATGTAGACTCTTGATTAATGAACCCACCCCACTTGGATGCACGGACTCGCGGACAGGTCGCTCCGACCATCCCTTGCCCACAGGTGGAGCGGGTATGGGTGGGGTGTCGAGAGTCTTCATATGGGGTTTCATTAATCAAGAGTCTACATGAAGTCTTCCTTTCGGAACCCTTTTCCACTTCCATGTTAGTTCGTCAGAGGAACGTTCTTTTTCTCGCAAGGGTTGTTGCAGACGATGGCTGCAATCACAAGCCGACACTGTCCGACACTGTCGTCATTGACAGGCCAAGATTGACCTCATCAGTCCCATCGGACAGTCAAAGGTTATTTGTTGGCTGTCGTTCGAGTCTAATATGGCATGACACAAGTTGACAAAAACGTGGCGTTTCCCGTGTGTCACAGCATGTCCACGCAAGCCACCTGTCACGTTTGGTGAGAAGTTCGACATGACCCGCGGGGACGGTCGTCACAACTCTCGTCCGACGACCTGAGGCATTGAACCAGCAAAAGTCGATGCGACCCTTTGCCCGACTGCGGGGTGGACAGCAGGTGCAAAGCTGTGCTTTCCATCCCAGCAAGTGGCTCGGCCGGCCAAGTGGCACATGTTGGATGGTGAGTCAAAGAGCTGCGGCTGGGGTATAGGCAGGGTCCAGGCATGGTAGGCGGTAGGCTGGGCTAGGTTTTTGAACAGATGTTTAAGGTCGGGGAAAACAACCGCATGACATGGAAAGGCATACTAATTTAAGTTCTGTTCTTTCTTTCACCTCGCAGCTAAGCCTGCTCAATGAACTCCATCAAGGGCTTCTGGAGCGTGCCTAGCATAGGTGCTTCTGACCAAGAGGCAGGTAGTTGGTGCATGGTGCATGGTGCCATCCTCCGCCGGATCAAGGCCTCATTTTCTGGTGGCAACGATGCGCAGCGTGCGGATTTATGATCTGCAGAAACAGCATCGAACTTAGGGGTTCGAACGGCTGAGCGAAGGAACGAGGGTTCAGAGACTCGAAGTGGAGAGAACACCAGCTGAGACGTGGTATGATGTCGTGGGCCAAGGACTTACCTTCTTAGTTGGCTTAGAGTGTAAGATCTTCCTAAGTGTGACATAGCAACTGACCGGCTTTTTCAGGTCCTTGATTCATTTACCAATTCACAAATCACTGGTTTTTCACGCGTCACCTCACATCACATCCGCCCCAGGGCGCAAGTGAAACAGCTCATCAGTGGTGCTAAGTGGATCTCTTCAGTGACAGTGCATCTTGGCGGCCTGGGTGAAGCAACAGTGGTCATCCTGCGGGATGTCATCCCTGTGGATGACCCACATGGGGTTTCCCATGTTCCAGACCACCCACTGCACGGCCTCCGTATGATGTAAAAGGAACGATGAGCACACGGGTTGCACACTGCCATTGCCATGAAATCCCTGAAAGAGAAGATGAGCCGTGGCTACAAGGCCAGTTCAATCTTTTTCTTCGTCGTTCAAGCCTTTGAACAAGACTCATCAAACATCAAACCTCCAAAAAAGCATAAAAATACAAACATAATCATACAACAACTTGACCACGTGCATGAGATGTCATCACTCGGTTGCTGGTCGACTTCAAGTCTTTTTCACCGAGGTGTAGGATGGCTGGAGTGCCCATGATCAGCTGAAAAAGACACAAGACATTGACAAACATGACCATGACCATGGTGGTGATAAACAACAGATGCAACAGATGCTGCTGCTGCTGCTGCTGATGATGATGATGATGATGCCTCAGACTGCTCAGATATTGATATATTCTGAAATAGTACTATCCCGACTATCCCGTGTTCTGTCCGATAGCTGTGCGTCAGACGAGCCGGTTCATCTCAGGTCCTCCATGATTTTGGGCGCTCTTGGGTCAGCTGCGAAGGCTTCGTTCAAAACAACGTCCTCTTGACCCAGACTCCATGGATCTCCATGGATCTCCATGGATCTCCATGGTACGTGGATGTTGTTTTGTTAATACACGATGTGATCACCATGTTTCCCTACAGGTCAAAGACCTCATTTTTACTGGAGTCGGTCATACAAAAACCATACTCAAGGAGGTAAAGGACCAGGTTTTACTGGGTCAGACTGGACTTGTAGTTGTTTTTGGTTTAATGACCCATCAAATGTAGGTATATACATAGATATATAAATTATATAACTCTTCCAGTCCGATGGGGAAAGACTCCATCCCTCCAGGTTTGTGGGCGCTCTCGCACCTTTATCCGGCACGTCTTCACGCGCCCCTGAGGCACCCCACAGGTGACCATGTCGTGGTGGGCTCCTATGATCGGCGGGTGGCATCTTGGATGTGAGATCCCGTGATTTAGAAGCTATAGAAGCTACTACCACCTTGGGAACCTGAACACCACAAAAAAGCAGGAGCTGTGCTGAAAACATAGTTTCTGATCTCACATGTAGCAATATCCGCGTTTTCATCAAGAAAACCGGGTTTTTCTCGAAAACACCACTTTCCTGAAAGATCAGGTGAGAATACAAACAATATGAACATATTGTTCATGAGTCCAAGGGTACTTGCAGCACCCGGCTCAGCGAAAACATCCTTTTTCGCGAGAAGAGCCAGCTGCAATGTCGGGGAACTCAGCCAAAGCTCCTGGAAGGGAGAACCGTGGCAGCTGAGTAGATCGATTTTTCGAGATCTTGGAATAGTCATCTAAACCAACACGAATGAAATGTCAATTACATTCAATGATGCATCAATGTAATGCAGCCACTTGTGCTTTTTTGAGTTTTGGGGAGCTTGAAAGCCGGCGGTAGCCATGTCAGCGACCTACGTTGATTGCGCTACCCTTCCAGCTGAGTGGGATGCCAATGAGGCCCTTCGAGATCGGCTTCGTGGTGGTAAACCCCTGGTTTCAGATGACCAAGGTAAAGCCATCAAGATCCCAAGGTGCGTTGAAAACTATGAACTCCTGATCCCCATTCTTGCTCAGATTGGGGGCGGCAGCCGTCTTGCAGAGATTGATGGCCTTCGTGAAGCTGTAGCTCAAGTCTATGGTAAAAACCAGCGTCAGGTATCCGAGGATATAGTGGATGGAGATGCATGGTCTATTCGGGATATGGTGTCATTCATCAAGCGAAAGACCCAACGAGCAGAAGTAAGTAGGGTGGCCTTGTCTAGATTAGTAGTTTTTTCTTGGGTGCTTGGGAAAAGGGTTGCAGGTTAGCTAGTATAGGTGTCACATGGTGTCACTTTGTGCTTTACTCCTTGCGCGGGGTCGTTTGCTTGATCAGGATCACACCTTTCAATCGCTGTGCCTCCTTGTGAACCCGGCCTTGGAGGATGGGGTGCCCAAAAAAAGCACGCGCTAGAGGTAAAGAAGCTGTGGGATTCAAATAACTGCAAGAAGGTGTTGTTTACGCTATCACTCCAGAATTAGACTCATGTGTTTTTCAATATCATCCAAAGTATACGTCTGGAATCGTCTGGACAGGATCACGTGAACCAGATAAATGAGAAGGCGGCCAAGGATGCTGGTTCAAAGGAGAGCGCTGTGGACGAGGACTTTGGTGTCCAAACTGAAACTAAGCTGGTAGGTCCTACTGACGCATGTTTCAACTTCAATCCCCCCTTCGTTCAATGTTGGGTGCATGGGTTTAATGCCAAGCATTTTGCCAAACCCTGTAGGAAGAAGATGTGATCCCAAGCCCTATTGCTGAGCCAAATGGTTCTGCTCAAGGGGTCAGCACTGGCGGTCCTGCCAAAGAAGGGGCCCCTGTGCCGAGCCCAATGGGAGTTCCCACACCTCAGCAAAAGCCAGCCCCATGTCCCCCAACAACTTCTGGAGAGGAACCAAAGGAGTCTGTTGAAGCGGGCACCACTTCTGCCCCCATTGGCCCTTCTGCCCCCGAAGCTCCTTCTGAAGCCAATCCGCCAGCAAAGGCAGCACCTCATGGTCCAGGAGCTTAAACATAGAAAGCACGTCTTTTGTTCTGCCTTGTAAAAAGTGAAAGTGTTCAACCTTATAAATCAAAACTGGTTGTGGGCGCTATCTTCTGTCACCCCTGGAGGAAGTGCTTCTTCGGCCCCAACTCCACCTCTTGACCAACCAGTTCCTGACCCTTTGGAAGAGAAGCGGGCAAAGCTTTTGGAGCATCTTGTTTGGACGTCCGTACACTTTTTGATGTTGCCAACAATGCTTTTGGGATTTCAAAACCTCAGCCCGCAAAACTCGAGAAGACATGGCTGCTTGAGGATCCAGCGAAAGAGGATGATGCTCACGCAGTTGCAATCGCGCGAGTCTTCGATGAAGCCTGCTGATGATGGGGCAATGCCGGTGGCAAAGCCTACCTTGGGGAGAGGTGCATGGGGTTCTTCAAATTAAGATCTATGCGGGACTTTCAGTCGACATTGGCTCCTGTGGCCCCTTGAGGTTTGTACTAACTTCTGTACTTGATCAATACGCAACATACCCGTGCACCGAACTTAGTACATCGAGCGGGAAGGATATAGTTGAGGTTGTTAATATATAGCGAATATATATGATTGAATTGTAGCGCGTAAGTTTCTTCAGCATAGGCCGTTCATCGCCGATAGCTACTTTTGTGTTTGAATGATTTTGAATGTGTTTTTTGGGGTCCATTACCGGGAACCCTCTACAGGACAATCTGTCCCAATCTTTGGTTGCCCGGACAATGTGGAGACCCAGCTGATGGATGAAGCTACACGTACCGCTGCTGAGAAGTCATTGCCTGCAAGCCCGGGTGCAACTACTTCCAAGCTTCCTGAAGCATCTGAAAGCCCTCGCACGAAACGTCAGAGGTTCCAAGCCCCCAGGGTTGTTATCAACCTTGATTCAAACGAATCTTTGGGGGATGAGACGGGAAAGGTGCCGGCAGCTGAGAAGAGTTCTGACTCCGTGGGCACTGCTCTATATAAACCCGAGAAAGTTGATCCAGACTCTGCAGACCCCAATGCCGTGCCTGTGGTGTCCGAGCCAAATGAGGCACCAGCGGTTGTCCTTTGGATGCGCAGCAAGCAAGTTTCGTTTAAACAAATGTCTTAACAGACCCAACAAACCAACAATATTCAACAATTGTTTATCTATGATATGCGTGCTATTTTTTTTGCCAAACTGGTTGCACCTGCAGTGCCATCTATCTCTGCCGCTCGATCCAAGGTCTTTTCTCGCAGGGATCAGCTTTCTTTACGAAGTGGCCAGAAGGATGAGAACAAGGAAAAGAAAACCAACAGAAGAAATGCCAAAAAGAACACCGAGGGCGAAGATGAGAATGAGAAGAAAACGGAGAAAGGTAGGAAGGGCAAGGGTGCGAAGGAGGCGACTTCTGAGAAGAAGGATGGCAAGATGGCACCATCACGATCATCCTCATCCAAGCCTGCAGCTACAGCAAATGAGGGGAGCCGCAAGCGCAAGTCGTCTGACGCATGCGAGACAGAGCCAAAGAATGCCAAGGAGCCCAAGAAGAGTCCAAAGAATGAGAAGAGCCCAACCAGTGATCAGAAGCCCAAGAAAGCCAAGAAAGCCAAGAAAGCCATGGCAGAGACTGAGATCGATGTGAACCAGTTCTGGCACCAGCAGGAGGACATCACGTCTTGGGTCAATGAGCACGTGGATTGGAGCTCCGACCTGGAAACTCTAAAGGATCAGGTCAAAGCGGCCCGGGTGAAGTTTGGGTTCTTCCGGCTCAACATCTATTGGAGCAGACCCGCTTGTGGGCTGACCTTGCGTTCCAACGAGGGGAACCATGATGTGGCATACTTTAAGTTCGATGATGAGGCAACCCAACGTGCGGCAGTAGTGGCAATTGCTTGCGCTGAATGTGCGGCTACTCGACCCAACATTGTAATGAATCATTCCTGAGGATACATTTCATAATCTCAAACTTCTTGTGTTTTTCTGGTTGAGTCAGTGTAGAAAGAACCTTTAAAAGCAAATTGCACAAACTTTAAATCTATATGGAAACATTGATGGGACGGGACCCTTTTGCTCGATCGTCGCAGCCCCCCCCAAGGCATGGTATTTGGAGCAATCCACCGCTATGACCAAGGAGGAGTTCATGGAAGAGGTTGAAGAGATTGAGAACGCGTACAGACGGGCTGGGATGGCTGTCTTGCTCCAGGATTTGGTATGAGCTAGTTGCTAGTCTAATCGTGTGTGTTTCCCAGAGTGGGAACTGCTGTATGGGGTTTCGATGAATGGTAATTGTCCATCATCATGGGGCTACAGCTTGAAACCTAGCTTCGGGAAGCCCACGTAGCATTTTCATAATTGAATGCGCCTCGATGCTCATCGAGCCTGTCCCACCCACTGGAATGCCAATGACCCACGCACAAGAATTGGAATATATTAGAATGGTGTTCGTTGTTCAGTTTCTTTTCCTTTAGCTCCGATATTTAGACAGTGTGAGCACTAATTTTACTCGCGGTCTCTTTCGTGAAGTGGATCGGTGGGTTATGGCGGGGACCTGTTGCTCGACTCAACAAATCATCGATGCAAAGCTTGGAAACAAAGGTTGTTCGCATTCAATTTTCAACATACTAACTACTGTGCAGCTTAGTTTCCATGCTCATCATTGGAAGTTCACGAGTGATTATTTGAAGCCTGCAAACTGTGGTGAAACATTCATAGTTTGGTTTATATATCCTGCCCGTGTCTTCCCAAGGACGGCATGGCACCTCGTCGTGGCTGGCGGCCCAGGGTTTCCAATGCCCGCCGGGTGCGGCAAGCGAGATCAAAACGCCTCACCGGCCAGTTGTTATAAACATCGATCTGATTAGAAAGCATGGTGTGTGGGAAAGTTGTTTTTTGAAATGAGCAAGTGTCACCGGCTTGATCACATTCCATTGAATCATTCTTGGCTCGGAGTTTTGCCTGTTTGATCCCGGGCAAATACCGAAGTGTGTGGGAACATGGTGGAGCTGGATTCATTGATATTCAAATTGTGTGCTTTGGGGGCACCTCGGGATACATGGTGGCAAGAACTATATATCGAGATGTAAAGAGCGAGCTCATCGAGATTATGTTTTACCATTTAGTTGTGATTCACAAGTGGGAGCCCAGGAGTTCATCCTGATAGTTCTCATGGTGGTTTGGACTCATGGGCTCTACGAGCTTAGCGAGGATGGGTGCTAGTTGTTTTCAAACTTCAAGACTATATAAGCATGCATGCACACATGCTCTCGAGCTTGTGAGGCCTATGACTGGCTGGAGTTCTTTGCAGGCAATGCGGCCTGCACTACTCACGCTAGGCTTCAAGGATTCCGAGGATGCAAGTTTGATTTGAAGTATAACCCCAAAGAAAACGTTCCACCTCGAAG